TACCATATGATATCACTTATGTGTGTAATCTAAAAAAAACCCCCACAAATTAAGTTATTTACAAAACAGAAAGAGACTCAGACATAGAAAACAAACTTATAGTTACCAAGGGGGAAGAGATGGGGGGTGAGTAGAAAGATAAAGTGGGAGTTTAGGATTTATAGATACTAACTACTATACATAAAACAGATAAATAACAAGGACCTACTGTATAGCACAGGGAACTATATTCGATATCTTGTAATAGCCTATAATGAAAAAGAATATGAAAAGAATATATATATATATATATATATATATATATATATATATATCTGAATCACTATGCTGTACACCAGAAATTAACACAGCATTGTAAACCAACAATACTTCAATAAAAATAAATAAATGAATAAATTTTAAAAAGAAAACAAAAAAATACAGTTTTTTTGCAGTTTTATTGAGTTATAATTGACATACAGCACTGTAAAAGTTTAAGGTGTACAGCATAATGATTTGACTTAATGTCCAAGATGAAGTGATTATCACAATAAGTTTAGTGAACATCCATCATCTTGTATAGATACAAAATTAAAGAAATACAAAAAAATGTTTTCCTTGTGATGAAAACTCTAGGATTTATTCTCTTAATAACTTATATATATAAAATACAGCAGTGCCATTATATCTATCATAGTGTACATTACATCTCTAGTACTTATTCATCTTATAGCTGGAAGTTGGTATCTTTTGACTGCCTTCATCCAATTCCCTTCCCCCCTCACCACCCACTTCCCATAACAACAAATCTGATCTCTTATGAGTTTGTTTGTTTTTGAAGTATAACTGACCTACAACACTATGTTAGTTCCTGTTACACAGCATAGTGATTTGATATTTCTATACATTTCAAAACAATCACAATGATCAGTCTAGTTACCGTATGTCACCATACAAAGATATTACCAGTTATTGACTATATTTCCCACATTATATATTTCATACTTGTGACATTTATTTTGCAGCTGAAGTTAGTAGCTCTTAATCTCCCTCATCTGTTTCTTCCCCCACCCCACACCTCTGGCCACCACCTGTTTGTTCTCTGTATCTATAACTCTGCACAGAAAAAAATTTTGAAGAACACACTCAACTGATGAGTTTTATCTAGAATATATAATGGACCCATAATTCAGTAAAGACACAATCTAATTAAAAATGGACAAAGGTTACTTCACCAAAGAAGATATATTAACAGCAGAGAAGCACATGAAACAGTGCTCGGTGCCATTAGTCACTAGGAAGATGCAGATTTGTATTTTAAAAGGTCACCCAGGCTTCAATGTAGTGAAACAAACAGTGAAACTGAGCAGGACCTCAGACGTGACTGCAGGGAGAACGGTTAAGGGGCTACTGTCATAAGACTAGTGGCAGTAGTTGCTTGAATTATGGTGATTGTGGGGAATGGGGAGAATTACAAATTAGAACACTATTCAGGAAGCAAATAAATAGGAAGGCCCTGACACTGACTTTGATTTAGAGGGTAAAGGGTTAGAAATGATTCCACGTTTTCTGGCTCGTCCAGTTAGGGGGCTGATGATGCCACTCACAGCCGTGGTGAAAACTGGAGGAAGACCAGGTATGGGGAAAGACTGGGTTTATGTTAAACGAGCACTTTGAGGTACCTTTGTGACACCAAAGTAGAATCATAGAGCTGAGAGTTGGAGCCAGATGCTTTCTGAGCCTTGTCTCTTGTATTTGCTGTGGACAGAAGCCAAAAAGCAGTGGGCTGAGGTTTAAAGTGGGGGAAGGGAGAGAAGACCAAAGGTTGCCAAATCAGAGCCCCCTGATCTGTCCCTATAAAGCAGGGAGGTGGAGACCAGCTTTCCATCGGTAGTCTACACTAGTAAAGCAGGAGGACCTCCAGGCAAAGGGGAGTTCGAGTTCTCCTTTAAATACTTCATTTAGAGCCCTGGAGGAATCCTGCCATTCTTGAGATGCCCTAAACAGAGACAAACTGAAGCCAAAGGTCTGATTCTCACTGCTTCTCCAGTTCTTGCCCTCCCCTCATTGCTTACTCCCAACTAGTGTACAGACTGCATTTATGTCGATGTGACCTCAGGAAATCAAAAGGTTCTGTAGTGCAGGTCATTTAAAATCTTAGCAAACGACCTTCTGTCCAGCTTTTCCACATGGAGTCTATAATCTGTTGAAGCAGGGGAAAAGAGCATGCTTTGCTTTATTTTTGTAGCTCATTAGTGAATCCTGACCATACTCCTCCTTAGGTCCATTTCCCATCTCAGTCTGGTTCTCATTTTCTTAGAAAGGACAATGGGATCTTTAAATTCACTCAGTTTGTGTTGGGAAGAGACCATTAGTACTCAGTCGGAGTAGGCTTCTAGCCGCACATTCTGGGGAGGGCATTTACACCTCCTGCCCCTCCTCTTTCCCTAGTTTGGCATACTCCAACTCGTGTTTTGCTCTCTCTATAAATATGAGAGAAAATAAAAGACACTATTCAGCCTCCTTGGTCTGAAAATTCTGGCGTTTCAGTGGTTTTCTTTAAGAGGGGTCCTCATTTGTAACCAGCTTTGTCATGAACGGAAATCAATCTGAATGTCCTATTGTGCATTTTTTCTTTCCTCACAGCCTGAAATGGCTTTTGCCAAATTTTCAAGCTGAACCTGAAAGACCCTTCTCATTTTCTGCTCCCTGACTCCAGCCGCATTGAGTCTTCGCAGAGATTTCTCAGGCAGAAGGGCTGCAGCGTGAGGATTGGGAGGAACTCGACCTACTCCGCTAACCCAGTGGCCTGAGCCAATCACAAAGAGGATTGGAACTTCGCTCGAGCCCCCCTTCCCATCCCCTGCCCCTGCAGCAGCCTCCAGGAAAGAGGGGCACTGGAGGGGTGTGTTTGCAATTCAAATCCCTGGCTTTCTGCCCGCCTCTTTTCTAAATAAGAAGGCCGGAGCTGCTGTGAGGTGCAAAGGGATAATCCGAATTGCACTGGCAAGATCCTTGCCTCTGCCTCTCTTACCTGTTTCCGAAGCTAACGGGAAAGGGGCAAGGATGGTGGAGGCTTTCTGTGCTACCTGGAAGCTGACAGACAGTCAGAACTTTGATGAGTACATGAAGGCTCTAGGTAGGTAAAAATAAGATGTGCTGTTCTCTTCCTAACCTGCACCTTCAAATACTTGCAGATTCCTCTTCTCACCCATCAGATTAGCAAGAGACAAAGACAGATCACATTGTCATAATCGGCTGCTAGGCTGTGCATTTGCCACGGAATGGATTTTTGAATGTGGAATTTTCCTGCTTTCTTGCCTAGGGCCAAATAATGGAGCATTTGATATTTTGTGAAGGATGGGAACCTTCTAAGCCTTTTCTGATTTTTCTCCAGCATCTACTTATTTATGTACCCAAATAAGCATCCACTTATTATTATAGCTCAGTAGTTGTCTTGCATGATTAATGGGCTAAACATACTCTAATGAAACTTACACTTAAGGACATGGATTCCAGAATGGGAAAGGAGGGGCTGGGGGTATAGCTCAGTGTGCTTAACATGCATTGGGTCCTAGGTTCAATCCTCAGTACCTCCATAAACTAACAAGCAAATAGATAGGAAAGTAGACTCCTGCTTTGCGAGCTATTTGGGAAGTTGCAGCTGACTGTATTGCTTCCTTTTGTTATTTTAGGTGTGGGTTTTGCCACTAGGCAGGTGGGAAATGTGACTAAACCAACAGTGATCATCAGTCAGGAGGGTGACAAAGTGGTGATCAGGACCCAAAGCACATTCAAGAACACAGAGATTAGTTTCCATCTGGGAGAAGAGTTTGATGAAACCACTGCAGATGACAGGAACTGTAAGGTAAGGAGCCACTCTTATAGGATGGGGATGGGAAGGAGGGAATAAAAAAGAGATTCCCAATGTTTCTTTTTTCCTAGATGATGGGAAGTGGAAAATGTTCTCTGTATTTCACTTCAGAGAGAAGGACCCAGGGTTAGTTTTGCATTCTAGTGTGCATAGTTTGTACTATGAACAGTGGACACTTGCTATAGGTCAAATCTTGAATCTATTTGTTTACCATATGTTTTTCTCATTTTATATCAACTTGTATTTCAGAAAGGATTTAATAGTTTCGGGTGAAAGGCAGATTGCATTTTGTTTAATCTCTCTTTTGCCTCAGATTGACTAAATCAGCAGCTTGCCTCATTCTAAGTCTCTGTTTAAAGGAGTAGAGCAATTAGTCAGAAAGTGTTAGTTCAGGATTTTTTTTTTATTTCTGATACATACATTTTTGCATCTAGACGTATACATTTCAGTTAAATTGTGAATTACTACAGTTTTCATAATAATGACTCTGGAAGCAACAGAGGAAATGATACTAATGTTGATAATTTGTTGATCACTATTTATTTAATTATATTACTCCTATCAAAATCAATTAATTTGATTTCCATAACAGAAATCTGATCTGTTCCTATTGCTATATTCTGCATTTTGTTGTTGGTCCCAGTCTGTTGTTAGTCTGGATGGAGACAGACTTGTTCATGTGCAGAAATGGGATGGCAAAGAAACAAATTTTGTGAGAGAGATTAAGGATGGCAAAATGGTCATGGTGAGTAAGAGCAATCCTACCTTTCTTCCTCCTTGCCTTCCCCCATTTCTCATCTTCTTCCCTGTCCCTCCCTCGCTCCTTTTCTTCCATCCTTCCTTCTTTAATAACACCAAGTCACCAGCAGTTTCTTGAATCACGTTTAAAACAGAAGAAATAAAAATATCTTCACTAATTGTTTCCTCCACTCGCTTCTTTAATGATAGAAAAAGAGAAAAAAATTCTACTTAAGTGTAGTTTTAAAAAGTTGCCACTTATTTGGCTAGAATTGTGTCAAAAGAACAATTTCTGTTGGATTACTGTAGATGTCAATCCTCAGATGAAATCTAAATATAAAACCAATCATCCTGAAAATATATAAAGATGACATTACTATATCATGGATTTGCTGAATCTCAGAAAAATTACTTTATAGCTCCTGTAATAAATAAGAGATTTTTAAACATTTTATATTTTAGTTTATAAAGTTCATACAAGTTCAGTGCAGATAACTTAGAATATAACAGAAAAGTGTAACAAAAAATAGAAAAATCGTTTCCAATTTCCCCTCTGTGACAACCATTTTGATATGACTTTCTTCTATTCTAGTCTTTCTTTTTCATGCATAAATGCCTATAGAACATGTCTGTTCAGTACTGGATGGTCATGTAAAAACTACAACATAGAAAGTAATTTAGAAATAATTTCACTGATGATGGAGCAGCATCTGGAAAACTGGAAAAAATGTTATGTCTTAATCTAGCACTCCAGACACTTTTTTGTGAACTGCGTAATGCAATGCCAATTTTGATAATGCTGAAGTAGTCAATTCAAGTAGTTTTTTTTGGGGGGGGGTGCTTCATATATTCCTTCTAAGATAACAGCAGAAAGAGTTTTTTGTTTTTGTTACTGAAGATAATTGACATTTGTTTACTTCTTCCCTTGACCACAGCAGTCAGAGCTGTTGGGTTGAATTAGAGGACGTACATAGTCATGTTTCTTTTCTTGGATGGAAGTTGGGGTGGGCAGCAGAGAGACAGTTTCCTTTCATGTTAACCAATATTTGCCCACATTTTCCAGCAGTGATTATAAAAAAAAATCATTTATAAAGGATTCAATCTAAAATTCTTCTTTATGCTTTTATCTTCATTTTTTTCCCTGAACACAGAAAATTGGATAGCTCAGCTTTGGCATGAATGACTGTGATTAGGCAAGACTGAGTTCAAAAAAGGAAATGAAAGTAATGGGTGACAAGGGCACAATCTTGAAAATCACATGACTGCATGAAAATGATGAACACTAAAAAACTCCTAAATTTTGTAAAGAGGTTTTATAGCAATTCTTCCAGTTGGATTTGACATAAGAACCCCTGTTGCACATTATACCCATGTAACCACCAAGGTTCACATGGGCTAAAAAGCAAGACAGTCAAAGCAATGAGAACATTTGTTCATTTACCTTTTCCTGCTGATTTTGGAACAAGTCATTCCAAACACTATTTGCACAAATGATCTGAATTTTCTGAAAAATCTTCAAACTGTATCGAGGTCACGAATTGAAAGCTGTTACGAAAATCTACTATAAAATTTCATATCTTAAAGCAGATAGCTAATTTGCCCCAATAACCCTGATAATATAAAGCAAAAAGAATTCTTTCAACCTGAATCTAGATACTTACTCTTGGTTTTTTATTTATTTCCTTTTAGAGATATGAACTATGTATACATGTTAATCACTCAATAAATGTAAGAGTTTCTTTTCTTTTTAAAAAATGAAGAGCTTATGCAGCATTTAATATTTGTAAATTCCATTATTCTTTTGCATAATACGTAAATCATATGTATGATAATCTTCTAATTTTTCAGCTACCAATGTGCCTGTGTAAAAAGATTTGGTTATCTTTTGAATCTTTCAGACTCTTACTTTTGGCGATGTGGTTGCTGTTCGCCACTATGAGAAGGCATAGAAAGCTTCTTGATCTGGGACTGGAGAAGTTCTATAATGTTTCTGTTCACTCAAGTCTCAGTACCACACTGCTATTCCAGCCCGGCTGATCTCTGATTAGAAGGTTATCCTTGGCATGGAGGTGGACAATGATGATTTAAAAACTTGTTTTAAAACCTGTTACTGCAAGCCATCAAAACCAATTTTGATCTGCACATTTATCACATTTTATAATTTCACATTAAAGTTCTAAGTTACTTGTTTAAAAAAATAAAGAAGTGACTACATTCTATAATTTCCATTGGAAAGCAAATCAAATTGGAATAAAAATGTATACCCATGAAAAATTTTGTTGTTTTTAATATCACTAATCTGGCTGGGAATTGTATCTTAGAGAGTTTTAGATAAATTAGCCTTTTTTAATGGCAGAAAGTTAGGCTGGGAAAAGTTAGCACTTTGTTTATAATAATAATTTTAAAAATAAGCAGAAGCATAGGGAAATGTGGAAATGCCACAGTTCTGCCTGATACTTCCATACAGAGTTTGTGATGATGAAATTCATTTGGCTGGATCCAAAAGAGCTTTGTTATGGTGAACTGGGCTGCACAGAGGACCTCTCACTATTAGAAACAAGTAGCTTGTGGGGAGGGTTTAGCTCAGTGGCAAAGTGTGTGCTTAGCATGCACAAGGCCCTGGGTTCAATCTCTAACATTGTAATTAAAAAATAAATAAATAAATAAAAGCCTAATTACCTTCCCTTCCCCCTCAAAAAAACCCCCCAAATTAAAAAAAAAATCTATTAAAAGAAAAGAAACATGTAGTCCGAAGAAACAAACTGATACACACGAAAATATCTTATTAAAAGGTAAATATAATCAAAATCTCATGTAATCAAAATGTCATGTAATTCAAATTTCTTGCTGAAAGGTAGATAGGAAAAGGGAGTGAATTTTAATCTGAACTATAAAGATGTGTCTCCAGACAAGTACATGGAGGAGAACTAAGTCATTAAAAAAGGCTAAAATCGAGTGTGCAGAGTGTGCCTAAAGGCATTTGAATTACTTTGTATGTGTTTGTGTGTGTTGGGGGTGGTCAGGTTGGGGTCGGGGGCAGTTGTTGGAATCCAGGTGATCAAAGGAAAGTAAGGAAAGTAAATATCTGTTTGTAAGTGGCTAAGGTTTGCGTTTGTGAAGTACAAACAAAATGTTATTTTGCATTCCATTGTTTACAACACACTTTTTATACATTTTTCTCAAACCCACAATGTGAAGCACAGAAAGCAGAAATTATTATTTTTACTTTACCGACTAGGAAATTGAAAATTAGACTCACATGGCCAAGTTCTCTTGACTAGTAAGTAATACTGAAAGCTGCAAACCTTGCAATTTTCCCCTTTATTTCCCCTGAAAAAAAATCATATTTCAGATAAATATTCTTCTGACACAAAAATACAAGATTTTATTTTCCCTGAATCATTCCTTAGGGAAACTTTCCTCTGCCAACCCTCTGTGAGGGGTTGGGGGTGGGGGGTGAGATGGGGAAAGAGTAAATATTTTTCAGAACAAATACACAATATTCATTTTTAATCAACCCAGTATTTTCAGTAAGTTTCTATAAGTTAATTCAAGGTCCAATTAGCTTACAGATACATGTATGAGAAAACTTCCATTTAACTTTCACAATTCACCACAATGATACTATTACCTGACTATTGTCTTACTTTACTAGAATAAAGAGTAGAAATATCTCAAGTGTAGCTATGTTACCAAACAAAAGTTCCATGAAGCCCGATGCACAGTGAAGCCAAACAAACCCAAACACTGGAGCTTGGAGCAGAGAAAGGTTTATTGCAGGGCCAAGCAAGGAAGAAGAGTGGCTCACGCTGGAAAAAAATGCCAACTCCCAGATGGTTTCGGAAAAGTTTTTATAGGCAAAACTTGGAGTGAGAACTTCAGGGTGTTTGACTTTCTTCTAATTGGTTGGTTGGAAGGTAACAGGGTGGTGCTCCAGGAATCTTTTGCTCAGCGTGAAGTTACCGTCCTCCACCTGGGTGGGGGCCCTAATTTCTGCAGAAGAACTCAAAGGTATTTTTATATATATTCCTTGAGGAGGAACCAGAACTCTGCCCCAAGGTTGTACTACTGTTTCTTGACTGTTCCTTCCTTATTCTGCATTCCCTCCCTTCTCTGATTAACAACTGTTTCAATCTGCCCTTTGGAACTCAGGGAGGGTCAAGGAGGCTGCATGAACCCTATTTCCTACAAACAAGAAATGGGGGACAGGGGAAGGATTTGTACCAGGGAGGATCATACAGGGTCCTGCTCTGTTTCAGTTATAGGACTTAACATATGAAAATACAATTATTACTGAACGTCAAGATAAGATTGTCTGGCTCAGGTTACCATGACTTAAAAAGAGTTTCCCTTTGTCTTTAAAAGCATGAAACAAAACATGGAGAGGGTGTTCGCTCCAATTGCTGTAAAAGCCTTCCTCTCTGCTTCGGGAGGAAGACTGCTTTCTCTTGGTGATTTCAGCCTATGCCCTAGTAGAAGCATGGCTTCTGGCCTTTCTATTCTCAAAGATACAAGGGCAAGGATAGAGATTCAGCTTCAGCTCATTGTAATTAGGTCAGATTACATCTTGGCATTAATTTGCGTAATAACTGTCTCACAGAGTGAAAAATGGGAAGGTTTTGGGATGGCCTAAATGGGAAGCAAAGTTACACTAGGTTAAAGGATCAAGAGTTGCAGTGGTGGACCAAAGCATTTTTCTGGGAAGAAAACTAACAGATATTTTTGTTTCCTAAATGCTTACAAGGTAGTTGCAAATCACTGCCCTTCAAGCTGCATTCTATCTCATACAGTAAACTGGCAATGTACTAACTTTTCTGGTTTGCTCTTTTTGGGTTTTTTTTTCCCTTGGGAGGTTTTTTTGGTTTTGTTTGTTTGGAGGGAAGTAATTAGGTTTATCCATTTTTTAGTGGAGATACTGGGGACTGAACCCAGGATCTCCTGTATCTCCTGCATGCTAAGCAAGCACGCCACCTGAGCTATACCCTCCTCCCTCGCCCTTTTTGTTTTTTAACACAATTAAAAAGGAAAAAATTATCAAGCTCAAAGGCAATTTGACCAACAGGCCCTGAAAGACATCTCTGAAATTCTAAGATCTCATGGATAATATCTATGCTAAAGGCTGTCACGTGAAATTCAATCATGGATCCCTGACAATGAGTAAGAAGCAGTTTCCACCTTGTCACAGGTGCTGCCCCCAGCCAGATACACACCCTCACAACAAATTCTACCTACACCGGGAACATGGGGACCTACAAATACATGCCCAGGCATGAGGTGTACACTCAGAGATGTTAAGGAACCATAGCTTTGTGCTTCTTAGAGAGAGGTCTAAAGGAAAACAAAAGAATGCAGAGGGAGTAGAAGGGAGGATTTTGTTCCAACTTATTAGTTCATATATTGCCTTTTGACAACTGCAAGCATGTCTTAGATTTCAAAATGTGTATGCCACATTTTATGCTTACTTACTGAAAAATTATTTCACAACTAATTTACTTCCAGAAAAGTGTATTGGAAATTGGAGGAAGAAGAAGAGTGCAAATTGCTATTTTTACAATTAAAAAAAATCCTTTTTCTGTCTTTCAAAATGTTTGTCCAAGAAACACACAAGTTATTTTGCTGTTCTTAAAGTTGTTTTCTCACATCCATTTTTCCATGTTTTTTCCTGTTCTGTTTCCCTCCACACTCTTGAGGCTGTGAACTGAGAAACTCCAAGGGCCATATCTTCCTACAATTGGAAAGGACTTTGGTTCTCCAAAGGCTGTTGAATCATCCTAAAGTTGAGGCAGGACTTGAACAGCGCTGGCAGGACATGAAACAGAAAATGGAGGCGCCTTGATTCCCATTTCAAAGCCCTTTTCATGAGACATTTTAAATTATACAGAATACAAAATAAAGTTTCCTCTGTTGGGAAACAAATACACCTTATAACATCTTTCACGAGGTTAGTAATTCTGGAGGGGTTTTTCTTCTTCAAAGGAATTCCACGACCTATAAACTACATGCTTCCGTATCTTAAAGAGGCTGGCGTTCTCGTAAATGGTGGTAATAGAACACTGAACCCAAGAAAGCTTGAGGATCTTGGTTCCTTTGTCAGACTCAGTATTTTGAAGAATTCCTTGAAGAGTAAAATCCAGCAGTTCTATATATGATTTTAGTGTCCCTCTAGAATGCACAGAACAAGGTCCTGAGACATTGTTCTAACTCAGTTGCAAATACAAACAAACAAACAAAAAGAAAGCCCTAACGAACAAAAGACTGAAACCTAGTGTTTTTGAGGAGTGGTTCTCAAACATTACCATTGCTTTGTTGCTGGTAGCTGCAACCCGTGTTCCAAGTTCTTGTCCCATCCCAGAAAGAATTCAGAGACAAGACTCAGTGGTTAAAAAAGTAAAGTGAGAATTTATTAAAGGACGGACAGTACACTCTCAAGGGGAGAGCTGGCAGGTTCAGGTGAGTGGCTGCCCTGAGTTTCTTTGGCAAGTTAGTTACATAGGGTGTAAAAATGAATGGGCAGAATATTCATTGGGGAGGAAAGGGTTTGGGGACGCATTCCCTGATTATCATCCCAACTCCACCTTCCCAAAGGGAGGAGGGATTTTTGTCCTTAGTCTGGATCAGAAGGGTCATGGCGTCGGTGCATGATGGGTACTTCTGATCTGCAAGGCTAATTTTACTGAAATGAGGGCATAACAAGCAAAAGGTTACTTTTGGACCCTGGAAATTCCTGACTCTTCTCACCTTTCTTTGTTGGTCTCCAGGCCACTCATCACCCCAAAAGATGTGGGTAGCCCTTTGTCAGTCCAAAGGTTCCTGCTTTTCTTTCTCTGCCAGGGACCCCTGCTGCTTACATGATGTGTGGTTTCCTGCATTTGGCCTGTGCCCCTCCTTTCTGCCCAATTCATGCCATTTGGTCTGCGTACCCCTTTCTCTGCTCATATCTAGCTATCTGCCTGCTCTAACAGCTTTAGCCAAGGACTGGACTTCACCCCTAGAGCTAGTGGCTTAATAGGTCTGGGGTGGGCCTGGAAATGTTCATTTTTAATTAGACCTTCCGGGTCGTGCTGACAATGCTGTTCCGAGGACCACAATCTGAGATACAGTATACTTTCCAAAACCTCTGCTCATCTCGCCCAAATCAAGACACTTCGAGGTTTTCTGCATCACTTCCGCGGAGAAGCCCCACGCACTTAGAGCCAGGTGGCATTTAGGCAAGATGGTCTGCGCCAGGTGGCCCCGAGCACATTCCTCCCCAGGGCAGTCGCTGACTCTTAGAAACTAAAACACAGATGATCTTTAAACAACTGCGAAAGGTCCAGTGAACCGACTCGTTGCGGAATCTGCCGTCGCACGTGACCGCTGGGCGTCTACACCCGAAGAGGTCTTCCACCTCCTCCCCAGCCCCGGACCCGACGTCCGTGTGGAGCCGCGGGACGAGCAGGGCCCGCGATGGCGCTGCTGGGCACGCTCCTCTGCTGCCTGCTGGCCGCCTGGCACGGCCGGCCCAGCCTCGGGCTGCCCCTGGCTCCCGCCGGCCGCTGGAGTCCCCCTGCGGCGGCGGGTGAGTCGTGCGCCCCCTTCCCCTCCGCGAGCTGCCCGGGAGCGCCGGCTGCGGCGCCTGCGCGAAGTCGGGGCCAGCGCGCGGGGCGGCGGGCGTCCGGGAGGCTGCGCGCGGGAGGCTGTGACTCTGGCTGCCGGCCGCGGGGAGGGCGAGGGCGCCGGGGGGACGACAGCGCCAGCTCGACCTGGCGGGGAGGTCAGGGCTGGCTAGCGGACGGTCCGCCATGGGGAGCGGGGGCGTTGCAAGGGGGGCGGCAGCCGGTTCCTCCTCCTGTACAGTTGTTTTCACTTTGTGCCTTTGGGTGTGTTTTGCACCCCGGGAAGGGAGGACAAACGGCGTGTCTTAAGGAAAAAAAATCTTGGGGTTGAATGTCTCACCTTCTCAGAGGCTCCGAATCTGCCCAGAGCGGAGGAGCTGCGGAGTCTGGGCTTCTCAGGAGTGTAAATTTCAGTGGGACTCAGAGTATCTTCTGTCCTGCCCCCCGAGTTTGGTGGCCTTTTCTTTGACTCCTCCAACCAGAGCACGTCCCATTTTCGGTGCTTTGGAACTCGCGGGGCCTTCATTTCGCTTTAGCTGGATGCCACTGGGCTCCCCGCGGGCAAGGCTGATTTTGTTCATTCCCAACTGTCACAGCAATGGTTCTCAAAGTCAAGGCCCGGACTGGACAGCGAGCTTCAGCGTCACCTAAAAGTGTTAAAAATGCAAGTTTTCAGCCCCACCCCAGGCCTGCCAAAACGAAACTCCGAGAACTGGGGGCCCCATAACCTGTTCAACAAATCCTCCAGGTGATTCTGGATAGATGCAAGAGTTTGGTCCAGAATAGATAAGCGTCAGATGATAGACTGTATGATGCCCTCTGAGGCTTCAGTGTTAAAGGTCAAGGTGCCCCTACCTCCCTGACTCTCTTTAAATGTAACTGCTCTGTTATCTGAGTGAGGGGATTAGATCGGTGGAGCTGTGTTCTGTTTGGGCACAGCTGTCTCTGAAGCAGCCCGGTGCTTAGTGCTGAAACCTCCTCACTTATCTGTCTCTCTTAACTCTCTCACACAACTTCGGAAATGCTCCGGAAAAAAAAAAGCCTCCTCTTTGTCCAAGAGCCAAGTCCTCATGACTCAGCTGTCAGGCAGTGGAAAGCAAGAAGTGTAAATTGCAACTGTCAGTCATAACAAGTTGTCCCCCAGTACTAATGCATGCTGGTTTTTGGTTTCATTCAAGCTGAAGGGGTGTTTCTTTAATTACATGCCTGTTCAGGATTTTGAGATAAAATGTCCCAGTTGCAGGAAACTAACCAATGACAAATTCGTGTTTTGGTTTTAAGGATCTAATTGTTGAAGTCCTCAAGGACAACTTCCTTGGGGTCTAGTGAATCTCAACTTCACAGCTCCCTGTTTTGGTGGGGAAGCAGTGCAGTGACAGGGGAAGTGGGAGGGAGAGGGGTAACTGCAGCTCACAGACCTGCTGAAGCGTCCACTTAGCAGGTTCACACTGGATATATTAGTTTCCATGTTTTCTGCTTGATGATGTGACCATCGCTCACCCCCTGGCCCCTCTCCAAATACTTGGACTTCTTTACAACACCCACCATGACTAGCCTCTGCTTACTCTGTGTGTGTATGTGTGTATCTGTGTTTGTGTGCAAATTCCCAGTCTCAGCTTTCTGTCGAGTCCCAGTAGTCAGAGGACAACAGCCCAGCGACACTTTACCTGGCTGTGTTTGGCCACAGTTCTTTAGTTTTAGTAAATCAGGACCTGCTGGAGTATTTGGTAGGAACTGACGTTATAAACAAATAAACAAAAAACACCTATTTTAAACAACAACCGTATGTCCAAACATCCGAATTGTGACTTACTAGATTCTTTAGGATAAATTAAAAAATTTCATGATAAATTATAAATTTTTTGAGCATTTATTATAAAAATTTATTTGAGATGTTGACAACACGCACACACATGCAGACATATATTTTTGGAAATCTTTTGAAAGATTATTTTCAGAACAGGAAAGTAATTGCTGTGCAGTGAAAAGAGCTTTGGACTGAAAACCAGAGAGTGGGCTCTTCCACAGGCTGGTCTATGGCCTTGGAGACACACACACACACACACACACACACACACACAGCACTTTGTATACAATTTCATTAGAGGTGGGAGGTGAGGCCTCCAGAGGTTCATTATTCATAAATCCCAGGCTAAGATCCTGCCGAGGCTCCATTCCTGGCTTCCATTTAAAGATACCCTTCAGTGCATCTAAATAATTACTCCTCGTCTGTCTAGCAATGCAGTGTAGTGGAAAGAGCTCTAGACTGCAAGTCTGGAGAGACTGGTTCCAGTTCAGCTTTTACTGCTGAGTCACCATGTGATCTTAAGGACATCCTGAATCTCCGTGCCTAATTAAACAATGTTTGCTGAGGACCTGCTGAGGTATTGTAGACACTGGTGATATGTAAATCCAGGTATGAGATTATATCAGAAGAATACGTCCTTAATGTGTTTCCAGCTTGAGTTTACAAAAATTTATCACATTAATAACCTCATGCCCCTTACTTGTCACAGTATCTCCTGTAGGTGTAGTTGTTACCTATTTTACATGAGGCAAGTGAGGCGGAAGGAGTTTTTTGTTCCGCCCAAAAGGACATTTGAATGTGAGCAAACACGGAGAGGCAGTGTGCACAGTGGTCAAGAGCAATGTAGGCTCCGGAGTCAGATTTCCTGAATCGCCCTCTTGGCTTTGTTGCGTCTGGCATATGTGACTTGGACTTAATCTCTGTGCTGCAGTTCCTCATCTGTGAAATGGAAATGATGAGCAGTTAGTGCATGTAATGCACAAGAAACCATGTTAAACTTACAGGAAGTACTTGATACATTTTAGCTATTACTTGGAAATGACCAAATTCAATCTCAAATTCAAGCTTGACAGCAGTGTAACTAACATTGAGCTCACTGGATGCTGGGCTCTTACTTCTGCTGAGGCACTTAGCCCTCACAGTGTCAACAGCAATATCATTCCATTTTACAGATAAAACAAGTCAAGATCACACAGCTAGACTGGGAAGCAGAGCTTGGATTCAAAGTCAGGCAGTCTGACTCGGGAGCCCCTACTCTTCACCATAACACTGTGGTTCATATACGGTTTATATATTTATACCCCAAGGAAGGGCAGCCTTCAGGATGATTCTGAGCTATTTGTCAACTCTACTTTATGGGCTGGGTAAAGTATGTCCAAGCTGGAAATAGAAGTTGGAGTATTTTCTGCATTCTGGAATAAAGTAAATTGACCTTGGCAAAGGTTTTTAAATGGGGACTGAATATCAAGTAATTGACCATATAGACTACTTTATGTCTACTTTGTTCTGGATCTTTTGTCTATCACTTCTTAGCTGTGAACTTAAATGCGTTATGAAATGATAACATTGTGAAGAAACAACATCCCAAATATAATATGCCTTTTCCACCTTGAATTAACTGCTTTCAATTTTCTACCTTATTATCCAGCTTTGGGTTTTATTTAAGTATTTGCTCACATACATCCTTAGTTTTTTATCATACTTAGTGTTTATCATTTGTACAGGTAAAAGTTTGCATGCTACTTTTTATCAGTTCTGATGTGTCTCTGACTGTAAATTAGTTATAATCAGAGTGAGCTCAAAAATCAAAGCGTGAAAAAGTCTCAATATTAAAACGATTTATTGATTACACGTGAGAAGGCAGCAAAATCACTGAAGCTGTATGTATATTAAGTGTAAGCAAACTGGAAGGTCCTTCAAAATGGGGGTTCAGATTTGGACTCTGCCATTTATTAAGCAGTATATACTAGAGCGAATTTCTTAATTGATCCACCATTAATTTCTCAACTCTGAAGTGAGAACAATGGTTCCTACTTAGAGAGAATGAAATGACATGGTATATTTAAATTGCTTATCATAATGCCTGGCACACAGTAAATAACAGAGATGCCACTATGATTATTACTACTAGTGTCTCCGTCAATGCAAGAATCTTTCTCAAGATGATTTCCAAGCAGGGGTGCTATCAAACGGGTCCTAGGCTTCTCCCTGAAAACCCAATGGAAGCATCCTCTTTAACAAATGCTTCCCTTAATATTATTAACATGTTATATGTGTGTAATGATAGAAGATGTTCTTCTGTTAAATAGCTTTCAGGAACCTCTGGCAATTGCTGATTTGGGCCGAAAGCTTGGTTAAGGATTTTTATTCTTTTTCCATTAATGTTGAAAAGCAAGGCTTTGCAAGAAATTAGGAAGTTATTCACTGTGGAACCCTAACAAACCACATCATATTTCTATGTCTATTTTTCTACAAGAATGTAAATAAATTCTAAGACCTTACATTCTACAAGGAACGCGACATGCTATTTAGATACAATATGTTATTATTATTGACTTCCCAGAAGGATGTCTCCTTATACATCACTATGCAAACTTATGTTTGTTACGTAGTCTGCGCTGAGGTCGTGCTGTCACTGACTCACCAGTTCTGATATGTGGCAATAGTAAATTCTAGCAAAGTCTTCCTACTGCCCTTGGAATCCTTACTCCTAACAAGGAAAGACTGTATTTAACTTCAGAGCATATGAACATTTAAATTACTAAGACTTTCTTCAGTCACAAGATAGAGCAACTGTTTCTAGTCTTATGGTAAGTATTTATGTGGGAATTCCAAAATAGAAGTAGATGTAACACCATTTTGTTTCTCATTAACAGGACAGTTTTGGCACGTGACTGACTTACACCTAGACCCTACTTACCACATCACAGAGGACCACACAAAAGTGTGCGCTTCATCCAAAGGTGCAAACGCCTCCAATCCGGGCCCTTTTGGAGATGTTCTGTGTGATTCTCCTTATCACCTTATTTTGTCAGCACTTGATTTTATTAAAAATTCAGGACTAGAAGCATCTTTCATGATCTGGACAGGGTAAGTGGTTATATAAACACCATTATTTATTTAGTCAGTATGTATTTATAGTGTCCTAAGCTTCATTAGAATGCTGAATTTCATAAGAACATTAATTATGTGTTAAAAATTATTTGGATATAAAAAATTAGGTCAAATTAATCAACATTATTAGAGATAAGAAAAACTTTGTGTCCCATTTTTTTGGTTTTGTTTTGTTTTTTGGAATACAGGCTCCAGAAATATGACCCTGTTAACTAGGAGACGAATCCAAAAACAGCGTATTTGTGTCAGTGTCTTGAGGGGTTTGTTAATAAGATAATAGGTCTTATTAAATAACCAGAAAACAAAAGGCAGCGATGGGAGTTAACTTGTGATAGCAGTTTTGTAAAGATCATCTCCTTGTTGTATAATTAATTCCACTCATCATGATAGAGGGAAGAAAGAGGTCTATATTTCTTGCACCTGCAATATTGACCATGGCACTATTTAAATTAATTTATGCATCGCAACCTACAATAGATATTATTGTTATTATTATTCCCATTTTAAAGATTACAAAATGAAGACTCTGAGAATCTAAATAACTTTCCCAAGTGCATGCAGCTAGTAAGTGGCAAAGCTGGAATTTGAGGCATTTTGGGTCTGGAATTTGTGCTTTTAATTACTAAACATTTTTGCCTCTTATAAGTCTTTAGTCAGGCAGTGAAATAGGCTGATATTTCCAGTTTATCTTTTGTAATACACAGATTTTTTTTTTAATAGGGCTCTCTTTGGGACAAAGGTCCATGAAGATTAGTTTACCAGCCCCTTTAACTATCATCTGTTGATTTATGGTGGAATTCTGCAGTGATAGTATAGCAAGGCATTACACATGAGTCTAGTGACTTTTTCTAGAAACTGATTTTCTTCTCTGTGATTCTTTCTCCTTTTCAGGGATAGCCCACCTCATGTTTCAGTGAGTGAACTCTCGACAGACACAGTCATAAATGTGATTGCTAATATGACAGCCACTATCCAGAGTCTCTTTCCAAACCTCCAGGTTTTCCCCGCCTTGGGTAATCATGATTATTGGCCACAGGTAAATTTGACCCCAACTTCCAGAAATGCTTAACGGATTTTCTCCATTAATAGTGTCAAAATTATGCTGATAACTAGCTGATGATAGGGTGTGGGAGTGTGGCTCATAGAGGTAGAGCATGCTCATAATGCTAAACCATCAAGGAAGGCAAGACATGTGCTCTGGGGACGTGAAAGTAACTCTTTAAAAAAATTTTTTTTAAATTTTTTATTTAATTGTTTTTCCTGTTAAGGAAAAGCACTGGGAATTGAACCCAAGACCTCGTGCATGCCAAGCACACACTCTACCACTGACCTATACCCTCCACCCACCTGAAGGTGACTTTTAATAGTTGATAAAGTGTTTTGTCCACAGTGAGTTCTCGGAAGCCAATTCTTAATTGGGTTGTTATTCTTAATTTCCTTCGTATTCTTCAATTTCTTCTCTCTTTTGAATAACTTTATTTGCATTTTCCATGTTCAGATTAGCAAAAAAGATGAATGTAGACTAATGTTTACGTTTTTCAGAATTTCTCTTAGACATACTAAGCTACCTATACTCTGGTCTAAGCTAGATTGTAATTAAAAACAAAAACATAGTAAATTACCATAAGAACCAAAAAGGGAGGCCCATGTTCAAGAGGTGATCCAAGGCAGGGACTGTGTTCAGCATATTTAATGCCTGATACAGCCCAGGTCTCAGCCTGTCAGAGCGGCTGTTTATTCAGCAGCCTGTGCATCACATTGGTTACCAGCTCTGGTTACAAGGACCTGCTCTAGTAGTGTAGAATCTGAGTGTCAGTTTGGCCTGACACTTGTTTTGTAAATAGTTTTACTGGAACAGAGCCAAGGCAGTTCTTTCAGTTTTGCTGTGGCTGCATATGCACTGTAACGGTGGAGAAGGAAAGTTACCACACACACACACACACACACACACACACACACACAAATACAGACTCGATCCCCCATCCGTCACATCAGGAGAAGATACTCGTGTGGAGAGCCCAGGGGCTTCTTCCCTGCGCCACTCAAGGCAGCAGTCTGGGCCAGGGTCCGCATGTGCTCCTAGCGGCTGTGTGGCTCATAAGCCTAAAGTATTTGTCACTGGAACTTTCAGAGAAAAAGTTTGACGACCCCTAGCCTAGAAGAGCCCTGCATTTTATAGATGAGAAAACTAAGACCCCGAAATGTTAAGCTACTTGTTCAAGTGCTCACAGTCGCTCAGCAACAGAGCCCACATCCTGGATCTTTTGTGCTCAGTTAGACAAACATCCTTTCACACATCCTTTGCTCTTGCCAGACTAACATAGCGGTATTTCCTGAACATGGTATTTACTTTTATGCCTTTCTTTGCCTACTTTTTTGTTGTTGTTGTGTTAGAATATCTTTTCCATCTTAAGTCAAAAGGATGCTTAATGAGGGTTTTGATTATATCGATTAATCTAACCCGAATATGATGGCTTTGAAAAGTTGCACTCTAGGATGAGCTTAAATTTCAAGAGGCTTCTTGGCCTTGGCATCCCATCCTGAGATGAACAAACTGTGAGTCTTTGTGGGTTGGCCTCTCAACTGGTGGTCAGCTTTTGTTACTTCTGTGATGTTATACCACAAGGGCAGAGGCTTGGGGATGGACAGTCTCCAGGAGTCGGAGGTTACTCACATTGTCTTTATATGCTTTAGGTGACAGGCAGGCTGGTGTAATGGAAAACATGTGGGGTTTAGGGTCACATTCATTAGAATTTTAAAAAACTTGTCCTGCCCTGTTTGCGCTAATAGCTTGAGCAGCTTGGATAATAATTCACATACTGATCCTTGATCATTAGTAAACAAGAGCAATAATCCCTACCTTGTGAAGTTTGGGGGAGAATTAGTGATACTATACGGGAAGGGCATAGTTTCCTAGTTGGCACATAATCAGCTCTCAGTGCGTGGAGGGGTGGTTATTGTAATGTTAAACGGTGACATGGGAGCCATGTGTCTTAACTCCTCTGAGGACTTGTTTCATTTTACTTTTATCTCTGCCTCCTTCCACCGCAGTTTCAGGAATGTCAAATGTAGCTTGAAAGCCCTACAACAAATTCTAGAGACTTACAGCTGAGATTGGATTCTGGTGCATGTAACAAATTGGGTGTGTTATTTCTCCATTGAGACCCCATAAACACGTATATAAACATAGTTACACACTATATTTATACACATACAAATGTAAATACAGACACGAGTCCCCACCCATCTCATCAGAAGAAGATATTTGTGTGGACAGCCCAGGGATTTCTTCCCAGTGCCACTCAAGGAAGCAGTCTGGGCCAGGGTCCTCATGTCCTCCTATCCTGGCAAGACGGCTGCCACCGAACTGATAGGTGGATCGCTTCCCATTATACCCCATTACTTAGCAGTGGTCACGTCACAGACAAGAAGGATTAGGATGACAGCATGGTGCAATAAATAACTGGAGGTCTAAGTTAGGGTAGAAAGACCTGGGATTTAGACCCAGCTTTGGGACTGACCAGCTCTCCCTAGATAAATAAGCTAACTTCACTGGTGCTCATGCTTTTCATATTTAAAATAGAGAGAAAAGTCTAGAGTAATGTTTATATAATTTTAAGATTCCATATGACTGTACCAGTATCTTGGCATCCATCCAAAAGTAAACAAATGGCTAAAACTGTAGGTTTTTGATGATGACAGTGATAATGATGATGATGCTTTTGCTTTGATTCTCTGTCTTGTCAACTTGACAAAATAATTATTCAAATTCTCGTTCAAATGCTCCTTTCATTCTGCCCGCAGACTCTGCGGGCCAGACTGGCTTGCTCTTGCTTCTACACTCCCAGAACCCTTGTGGTTGTACCTCACACACTGTCTTACAGATGACTGGCTACATTTTGTCCCCCATCACCCCACCTGAGTTATGCATTCCTTGAAAATTATCTAGTATCCCTGCATCTCCAGATGCCTAACATAGCAGTAATCACTCAAGTAATGTTTAAATTAATTAATCCATATATCCTCAGAGTTTCAATGGTGGATTGTATTGTTTGTGGCCAGGATCAACTACCTGTAGTCACCAGCAAGGTGTACAATGCGGTAGCAAACCTCTGGAAGCCATGGCTAGATGAAGAAGCTATTCGTACCCTAAGGGAAGGTGAGTGAAAGATAGCCTCATCCCTACTTTGTCTCTATTTTTATTCAGTTCATGTTGTTTCGACTTTGATCTTTACTGGTCACTTGGGTGTACCAGTTCGGAAGAGTTTCTGCCCAGTTTTTCTGGCGATTCTATCGTGAAAATCGAGGACCGGCATGGATGGTGAGTGGTCCCAGGCCAAAGAAAGCGGGGCCAAGATCCTGGTGGCCGGCTCTGGAAGTGCCACTGCAGCAGGGTGCCCTGTCACCACTGGTTCACAGTGTGAGTGGAGTTACGCCCTTAAGGCTCGTCTCACCTGAGATCGTAGCAGCTCTGGTTTATCTGCCATGTCTTCCTCAGTATTCTCTGCCAA